TCCCATCCCATTCCCTGCATCTGTCTTGATCTGTGAGTTATTGAGAGGAAAGGGGGTTCCAAGCCAGTTAGAGAATGTACCCTATGCCTTGATGCCGAATGCATTAGATCCAATACTGAAAAGTGAGGGATGACCTTCCACTTGTAACTTCAGGCCCTGATAATGATTTGGAAAGACAGGGATATTGAGAAAGGAGAGTTCATTCAGGTAACCTCTTCCATCTGTAGGTTCTCAGGTTGGCAGAGCTGGAGCCACTGGTATTACTCTGTTCTTAGCAAGAGAGTACTCTCTGCTCAGCCTGAGCTCATTATAACCAACCAAAGATTTGCATTGATCTTCAGTTGGAAAAATGCCTATATAGAAGATTTTGGTGACATAGAAAAGAAAGATAGAGGAGAGAGAGAGAATATTTGCATATGAGTTTCTGTACATTATTAGCTTATTAGTTTAAATGTCATGGAACTGATTCTTGTCTTGGTTAGGAGGTTGGACTGGACAGTCTTTTACTTGGAGGTAGTGAAAAGAGAACTGTAATCATGATCAGTGTTCAAAACTTGTAGAATAACTTCGAGTATAACTCTTCATCTCTGAAAGTTGAAGTTTTACAGATTCTTAATGAGCCCTTTAGCCTAAAGAGTCTATGGTTCTATGTGTCCACTCTTCTCTCCACTTTCCCTGCTGAATTGACCATCTGTAATCCTAATAATGTGTTTTGCCTTAAAGTCCACTTTGCTATTAACAGTACATCAGCTTCCTTTTAGCTAATATTTGTCTAGGATACCTTTATGCATCTTTTTATTTTCAAACTTTTTTCCCATTATTATTATTTTTTTTGCGGTACGCGGTCATCTCACTGTTGTGGCCTCTCCCGTTGTGGAGCACAGGCTCCGGACGTGCAGGCTCAGCAGCCATGGCTCACGGGCCCAGCCGCTCCACGGCATGTGGGATCTTCCCGGACCGGGGCACGAACCCGCATCCCCTGCATCGGCAGGCGGACTCTCAACCACTGCGCCACCAGGGAAGCCCTTTTCCCATGACTTTTAAAAGTTATAACTTGTAGTCTGACCACCTCTGTCTCTTTACTGGCAAGTTTTGTCCAAGTACATTTATTGTGATTACTTGTGTGGCAAGTTTTGTTATTATGTCCATGTATTCAGCTATTTTAATGATTCTTTTGTTTCTCCTTTTCTGCCTTCTTTTTAATTAAAAAACTTTCCCCCTATTAATTTCAAAGTTACACAGTCTCCATCTATTATTTTAGGGGTTAATTGCTTCTCATGCTTTGACTCTCTGATAGCTTCCCCCAATCATTTATCACCATCTAGTGGATACATATTATTCTTCTCACTTTCTTTCCACAAACAGAGAATAGGAGAAAATGTTTTTCATTGAGATAAGTTTATCAACATAGACAACCCAATAAGATGCTCTACATTTAAAATATATCCTTGGAATCGGATAATCCCAAAGACTCTTTCCTTCTTCTTTTGTGTCAATTTGTTTTACTTCCTCATCTTTCTTCCGCTTTGTGACATGTAGTGCCTGTGCAGCTATGATTTTAATCAATGAAGGGAGACTTTGCTGTTAGTGTGAAGTCTTCTTGTCCTCCTCTTTGAAGGGGGCAGATATGCCAGGGTCCAGAATTTTCCAGTGATTTTATTTGATAGCTAATTAATGGCCTTCTGTGGTTTCCATGGCAATGCCATGCTTTGCTGCCAGGCTTATCCAAATGGGTGCTCTGTTCACTCTTTTACCTTAGCATCAGCCTGTTAGTCGGACACCATAGGTCCTTGGTTGCTGCAGCAAAGTGGTAAAACACTAACTGAATTAAAATCTCACTTGAGGGCTTCAGGCTTCTCTTCCTCCCAGCTGGAGGGGAACCTTGTTAGCTCAAAGAGCGGGACCCAAGCAAGAGATACTTGGAAATCCACATAACTTTGTGTCCTTTTATAGAAAAGTATTTTCACTTCACCTTTGAACAGATATTTCGATGTTTGAATCTCTGAATCTCTGTGTCCTTGAAAATTCATATATTTCCCTGATCTTTCCAATCATTTGATGTTGCTGTATTCTCTTTGTAATATAAAGTGATGTAATTCCTATTGTTAGGGTAATGGGAAGAAACCTTTCTTACACACACACACACGCACACGCACACACACACAGTTGGTGAGTCTGGGGAAGAACGGGTTGAATGCTATAATTGAATTCAGGCGAGGATTAGGTAGCACAGTGCCTATGAAGATTGCCCTGTTACCTGTAAAGGGCTGTGTAAATATAAGGGGTTATTACGTTATGAGTATTTGGAACTTCTTGGAAGGCAGAGATGAAAGAGAAAGGAAGAGAGACAATTGAATTCATTCTTTAGGTTATAAGGATTATGGATGGTTATTTCAACTTCTCATTAGAGTCGAAATCCTCACTTTCCTTGGAAGGATTATCATTTAAAAGGATACCCTTTGACACTATTATTTTTACTATTTTAACTGACCCTCAAGTACCCATACATATTTATTCCTTTGTGCTTTTGCATTCTCTGTTCCTTTGGCCCTTCTGCTCCTTGTTATTTGCCCAAGTCCTATTCATTTTCAACACTCAGGATGAACATGTCCATATAAAGCCTGTAGCAACTGCATGAACAGAATTCATAACTTCTTCACGTCTCCTCCCTCCCTGTGTGTGACCCCACAATAGCACTCATCATAGTGCACTGTAATTACTGTTTACTTTTTAATTGGTTCATATGTCTCTTTCATTAATGTGTGAATGGCACAAAAGCATGGACCATTTCCTTCCAAATCTCATTTTTCTGGCATGCCTCATTCATCTACTAGGTGTTGAAGACATGTTTAATAATTTACTTTCTGGAAAATCTTGTGCTTGATAAATACCTGCTATGTGACCTCTCGCATGAAGAATTTCCAACCTAAATGCACACCGAATCCTCTCAAAATCTGAGGTCAAACAACTATGTTGGTGTGAAGTGCACATTAAGTGTTAAAGTTCGTATCAAAATATATGCTAATTCATACTAAAAACTGGAACATTACATTTGGAATTTCACTATGCAAAAAACAGGATATATCTTCCCCTCCACTCCCCCCTGCGCACACACACTGAAATAAGCTAGATAATTCTTTACTTCTTCTGCACTGAAGCCCTGTCCTTTCATCTTAAAATAAACTATAAGGGGGCGGGTATTCTCTTTGAGTCATATTATTACAGACTCTGGTGACCCCTGAGACAGTTTTTGTATTTTATCTACAAAAGCATTGACATGAGGAAAAAATGCACATTCTAGGACTGGAACCAGTGAATGGAAGGTACACAGAAGCTGGTAAAGGTACAGAGAGAACCATCTAATAATTAGATCTTTTTTATAACACAAGCTGGAATGAGCACTATTGCTCTCCCCCAGTGAAAGGGGAATTCAAGGAACGTGAAAGATAGATCTAATGAGCTTCCTGTTCCTGGAATGGTCCAGTTAGCAAACAAGGGTATCTCCCAAAGACAGTAAAGAGATGTGCACTGGGCAGACGTCGAGACCAGAAGAGTCCTATTTTCTCTCCCAACCCTGAAGTGTGTGGTCCTGTTTCTCTGCCAATTTGGAAATGAAGATTCGAAGCACCTCTAGCTAGTACCACCCTAGCGAAAAGATAAATGCAGAGTTCCTGGAGAACTGGTAAGAAATGGTATTTGCCCAAATCCTCTACAGAAGTGCTTTGAGTTTTCCTTCTTGCATCTCTCCTTTCAGTTTAAACCCCAAGTCCCAGACAAGGCTTCTTAGTTTTCAGCGATGCCCAAGAAGTGGCAGTGTTAGTGTATTTGTGTGTCTGTGTGTATGTGTGTGTATTGCGTTAAAGGACCTTTTTTTAGATACCTACTTGGGGAAGTCAGCCTGGCAGACCAATGCAATATTAAAACCTACCCTGTTTTATTTTGGTTATTGATTTTTCGTCAAACTAAAGTTTAATATGCAAAGCATTTCTAGGAAATCTGACATCATTTCTTTTTGGAGACGGTAGGTAAAAGGGGTTTCTTGATTAAAAGAAAAAGAACTATCAAAACCACCTGAGACTGAGAAACACTCGTCCCTTGGCAGTTTAGTTGGAGTAAACACAAAAGTGGCCAGCATGATTTAGACGGAGTCAGAAGGCAGGGCTCAAATCGCTATTCAGGCAGTAACCATGTGTAGCCAAGGGCATGCCATTTCTCTCTGAGGCTATTTCCCAAACTGAATCAGGGAGGTCACTAAGCTGATATCCAAGGTTCCTTACTGTTTTGAACACCCTGTGATTATGTGAATGCCTCTCCCTGCCAATCCCACCTATTGCCCAGCTTCGATTAGCTTCAGTTTATTCAGCGTGAAAGAAGCTATCTGGGTGAGACAGAATTGTCATTGCATCCCCACCCTTGTGTGCAAATGAATCAAAAGAACCACAAGGAATTAAGGATAAAGAGGAAAGAAATCATAACCGAAGAAATATCTTCTTTATCTATGTCCATTTCCTCCCACAAGGAAAAATGGCAGTGTCGGTTGTACTTTACATATATCTTTCTTTTTAGTGTTTAATCTTAGCACCTGCACAGCAGAGATCTTTACAGTTCATTGCATATGCTCTCTCTCATCTCCCCCCTCAATACAGCACCTGAGGCCTAAGAAGCAGCTCCCTCCAAGCTCCTCCCAAGGCTGAGACCCTTCTTCACGACAGAGTATAGAAATAACAAACATGCCCAACGGTTTTATACAGTCGCTAGAATGTTTTCGTTTCCAACGAATGAAGATTTTTCCTCCTTTCCTTTGAATATTAATTACATTTTACAAATTTGTGTTTGTTTTGCTTTTCTTGGTTCTATTCTGTTTGTACAACAAAAGGGAATGTCCGTGGCAAAGAGTCAGGTTAACAGAGCTTGGCTGTCATCTGGTCCGACTGTTTGAGGATCTCGGTGTTGTAGAGGTCCAGCGCGTGGTTCACCCTGATGATCTCGCTGTTGGTCAGTTTCAGGCGGTGTTTCAGCATACACGAGAACAAGTCCAGCTGGGGCTTCCCCGGGGCCACAGGGGGGGCCAGGCGATTGATTCGGTCCCGAATATCTAACAAGAGGAGCATCACAGACGAAGAGGAGTAGAACTGGCCGCCCTGCGTGTAGGACTGGTTGACCTGCTGCACGGCGCTGCGGAGGAGGTCGGCGTTGAACCTCAGGCTGTACCCGAACACCTGCACATCCGAGATCTTGATGTAGAACTGCCTCTTGGAGGGATCGGACAGGTCCACAGGGCCCTGGCCAGTCTCATTCCGCAGGAGGGTAGGTAGCCGAGTCCGACTACGTAGGTAGATGTGGACCGTCTCAAAAAACGTTTTCCACCGATTGCCCAGCAGGAGGGTCCAGTTGTAGCACTGGCTGTTCTGGAGACGGATCTTCTCCCAGCGCGGGTAGCCGAACTCCCCGAAGGGCATGTTCCAGCCCTCCGAGTGGCTCCCGCTGAAGGGGTTGACGTAGACGAAGAACATGGGGTCCAGGCTGCTGTTGCGCATCTGGCAGATGCGCATGGACATGCCGATCACCATGTGGATGAAGTCCATGCGGTTCTTGTTGCTCTTGAGAGTGAGGGACATGCGCTTGCGCCACCGGGGGTCAAAGAACGTGTCGAGACGGATCTCGTTGCTGATGAAGGTGGTGTGGACGTAGAGGCGCGAGTCCATCTTCTGCAACAGGTACTTTAGCTCCAGGTCCTGGAAGTCCAGGTCGGTCTCGAAGCTGATGAACTGCTCGCTCCGCTCCGAGTCCACATTCTGTGGTTCGCAGCGGCCTCGATATAGCTTGTAGCCCTTGTTGCAGGAGCCGCAGAGCGAGATGTTGGCCAGGCTGCACATGGCACAGCTGTTGTTCCCTCCGATGATGCAGGGGATGGGGCGCTGGCACAGCGTGGTGCTGCCGTGGCACACGCAGCTCCTCTGGCTCTCCAGGAAGGTTCCCCAAAACCCGTTCTCATTGCAGTAGAGAAGCGACTGGACCCTTGCAAGCCACTGCTGAATTGTCCTGAGGGGTAGAGGTGAGATGGAGAATGTTAACCATCATGGGTGGGCTTGTGGTTGTCCAGCTATTAATGCAAAGTGGGGTTATGCTTATCCAACTGCTAATGCAAAGTGGAGCTGCCCAAAGAATGAAAGGACTGGGTAGAACAGTTCTCATAGGAAGGGCACCTATGATAGTACTACAAGAACTACACTGTAGTTCCTGGTAATGCCACAGAGCAGCTACTCGACCTTGTACTCTACCCATCTAATGTTCAATGTCCTCATCTGTAAAGGGAAGGGGTTGGAGTGAATGTTCTTTGAAGCCCTTGCAGCTCTATAATTGTATGACTCATTCGTCCCGCGGAAGTTTGATTCAGAAAATTAAAGCGTATGAACTCAAAAACCCCTGCCGGATGACAACAGATTGTAAAAGATCGGCAATAAGAAGAATTTAGGGGTTACTTCTTTTAACCTGCGCCAGGTGTTTCAACCCTCTTCACAGATTCCTCCCATGAGGTTATATAACATCCAAAGACTTCAACAAAAACAAATTATATTTTATATTACTCTGGAGATCAGGAAGTGCTTCCATATTTATGGTCTTATGTGATCCTCCTAGTGGCTTTTCAGAACGGTAAGAAAGATGTTATTTCCCCCATGTTTTCCAGAGCTCCAAACTCTCAGGTCAGTGAACTTTCCATCACAACATGTACCTCTAGGCCCCCCCTCTCCACGTTTATAAACAAACCCAAGCCTGTCCCCAGATTCCAGCCTCTGAAACATTCCAGTGAAGGTACATACTAGATCAGATAAGAAGCAACAGAAGAATAGGTAAAAAGATGTAAGACAGTCAGCTTAGTGGCCTCTCATCTTTCCTCATTTCTGTGCAAGTCCCCTCTTCCACGCTACAAATAATCCCTTACATGTGTCTAGCACTTTTTACCCTGCACAGGGTACATTCGCTCCCATTTCCTCACTTGAGCTTCACAACCACATCCCCAAAATAGCTTGGGACCTGAGGTCAGTCCGAGATCTCTTCAAATCCTGGCACCTCCACTCCTGAGCCAAGGGAATGCTGGTAGTTTCCTTCACCTTCCTAATCATTCCCCCCACACCCGGCTGTGGTGAGGGTGACATGATTGTTTTGTGAAGTCTTTGTCCCTAACTTGGTAGGTATTAGGGACTCCATAAAAGTTAGTTCTTGTTATTCCTGCCAAGAGACTCTCAGCTCCACTTTCTAGACATGGCAAGAGAAGCTCAGAGGTGAAATCATACAATGAGTGAGTAGAGGAATCTCCTGGCTCGTAGCTCTTCAAACAAGAGTCAAGGAAGCCTTTCTTAAGGCTCTCACGTGCTGTGGTGATGTTGACGACGATGATGACCGTGGCGGCAGTGGTTCCTGATCCGCATTTTTGAAAACTGGAAATGGAAGCCCTTTTGCATCGTACTGTGTCTGGTAGGAAGTGCTAGCGATCTACCTATTCTATCACTTCCACTGCCAAGCCACAACCACCAAGCCCAAGAACCATGAGGTAGGCAGTACTGCCTGATATTGAAAAGCACGTGCGCTGGCCCAAGCAGAACTGAGTTCGAGGCTCAGTTCTGTAACCAGGAACAAGATACTTCGTGTCTTTGAACCTCAGTATCCATATCTGAAAAGAGAATAATAAAGCCCATCTTAGGCAATGAGGGAGAGGACTGAATGAGACGGTGTATTTAAAGCATTGAGCACAGAGCCTGGCATAGACCAATTATTAAAAAGGTAATAAGAAGTACTCTCATCCCAGAGAATGAGCTCTTCCTTTGAAGGCATTGAGACACACTCTCAGGGATTTCACTGTCCCTCTGGGGTTGGAGGGAAACCGTTTGGTTACTTGGGACATTTGAAAATGGATACTGTTGAAACGGCTTCCCGGGATGCTGTGCTTTAAAGGAGGTGCTTATCAGCTGAGAGAAAGTGGAGGAATAATTAGAGCGCTCTTTGAAACAGCTCTGCCTTTTAACTCTACAGAACGATCCTGGCTTTGGCAATGAAACCTCCCTCATAACATTCAAAACACTGTATTGAAACCCCTGGCATTTTGGTCAGTTTCCCCTCCAGGCTCTAAGGCTGGAGAGAGGGGACCCCCCCTCCTTCCCTGAGCATCTAGCTCAGAGCCTGGCTCTAAATAAAGGTTTCCTGAATGAACAGACAAAAATTAATATTTTTCTTATTTATCACTTAAAAAACAAACAAACTCCTCTTCTCTCTCCCGAACTGCAGAATTAGTTTTCAATACCTTGCACCCGCACAGCTCCAGGCCTCCCCGGTCTCTGCTTCGTGGGACCAATCCCATTACAGCCTGGAGAACAGCAGCGGGCCCAGCCTTCAGGAGACGAAGCTGGAATGATAATGAGCCGTGCGGCTCCCAGCTCCCCAACCAGAACATCGACTGAATATCGGCTATGAGTCATCTGATCTTTTTGTGAGCCGCAGGGGCACGCCACACGTCTCTGATTGCGTGTGGTTCCATCTGACGAGAGCGTCATTTCAAAATGCCTCTTTCAAATGGCCCACACTTGCCCCGTCACTCCCTCTCCAAGTGACAGGACAGTACCCCATTTAGAGCTCCTCTGTTCCCATCTGCAAGGCATTCTATAACCCCGTAGAGCGCGCCCTTTCTCGTGTCTCATCATTGGGACCCTTTGTCAGGACCGCATCCCCCCACTCCTTGAATCAATGCCTCATTGTGGCTGAGCGCTCAGCATTCTCAGTGAGGGAAAGAGGAAGATGCAAGTTCCCGGTGAGGCTGCCACAAGCAAAGGGCCGAGTGGCCAATTAGGATTCCAGCCCCGTCGAGCAGGAGGGACTGGGGACAGAGGCCCTCTGAGGCGCAGCAGAGAGCTGCCTGGCACCTGCATCTCCTGACCCCAGAATAATCGTGAGGTTGTGGGCTGTATCAAAGAAGGCATTAATGATACTGCGAGAGGACTAAGAGGCGGGGCACGGGGAGGGGGGCTGGGAGCGCGAGGCCCAGGGAGAGGAGAAAGAGAGAATGGAGGAGAGAGGTGGGGACTGGGGAAGCGTGAGGAGAGAAGGAACGGCCTCAGTAATGGAGGTGGAGGGGGAAACAGGGAGCCCGACCCAGGTGAGCAGACGGGGGCTGTGGACGAGGAGGGCTGGAGAGGGGAAAGGTGACGGGATGAAATTAGTGTGGGCAGGATGGAAACGAAGACACTCAGCCAAGCCTTCATGCGTCGTAACTCCCAGAATCAGGGAACGTGGACCCCGGCTGGGCCACGGGAGGGCAAACCATCCTTTTCTGAAAGGGGGGTGGGGGTCAGACGGAGAGCAATGTTATTGGTGAGCCCCGATTCCCAAGGTCAGTGAACGTTCCTTAGATTTCAGTCCTTCATTTTGAAGAGAAGAGCAAAACCAGAAAAAACAAGCTCGTCCCAGATTTTTGCATGCTTGTCCTTAGCACAAGCAACTTGTGAGACTGAGGAGTCCACCTCAATCAGGGCAATCTCCTACACCTTCTCCATCTCCAGCCAGTGCTCTGGGTAGTAACTGCTGATATTCAGAAACCCTGCCACGCTGGAAGGCATGCAGCACCTTAAATCAGCCAAGGGAATCAATGGCTCACAACCACCGAGCGCTCACTGTATACCAGGCGTTGTGCCCGAGCTCTCCCAGAGCAGCATGGATAACTGTCCACAGCACAGGTGAAGAGAGTGAGGCCTTGACAAGTGGGATAACTTGTCTGACATCACAGAGTCAGTCCACATTCAAATACCAAGTTCCCTAACTGCAGCACCAGTGCACTTTCCGACGTACCACAACGTAAAATAACGACAAAGCCAGCAAGAAGGAGGAAGCAGGCCACAAGAAGAGAAATATATTGAAATAATGGAAAAATACTGAAACTTTGAATGTGTGAAGGGCCTATTATCACATTCCTTGCTTCCCCTGGACCTGCCAGGATCCCTCTCCTCCATTCACAGATAATTGGAACTCACCGACAAGTGCTCAGGGAGAGGCTGGGGACCAGGGGTAAGAGGGAACGCAATCTATAAATACCATTTCCCAGGCTAGCTGGTGACAGCCCACCTCAACTCTGGCAACAGAGGAGCGGCTTAATAGGCCAGCTCCAGAGAGATGGGGCGGGGGCAGTTTTCACAGAGGGCTGACACAGACCCACTGCAAGGCATTCAGTGTGTGGCAGTAAGGACCGCCATTTCAGATGCTTTTCTCTGTCCCTGGGGACCCAAAGCATCTTCTCTTTGCAGCCAAAGCTGAACTCCAATAC